AAGCACAGTCCAGAGCTCCACATTTCTCACAGCAAGTGGCAGAGGCCGTGGTGTCCAAACGCGGACACCTCGTCAGTTTGGCGAAATGCCTTCAGTTCAAATTGTCAAAAGTAATCATGACATGTATTTTTCAAGAAAAAGAGTATCTCTTATGCTTTAATTAATTGCGATAGTTTTTCCTGATTTTTTCCCTATTGGTGGATTTCTAAGCCTGTTCTAAATAGTAGCTTATTTTTCTGACTCCCAGAGCCAGAAGATAAAGAAATACAGAAGTTTAATTACTTCCTAATCCAACAGCTTGGGCACGGCTTCCCAATCCAGTGGGGACACCATGATTACATTCCTGTTCTCTTCATTTGTGTCAGAAAAGTTAAAAACCAAGCGTGGATAGACAGGAGAAGTGAATTACTGCAGAACCTTGTCAGGGACCTGCCACTCAGCACGGTCTCTCCGGAGTGTGCCCAGAAGATCCATGCAGCTCTCTCTACCGCTCTTGCGTGCAGAAGAGCAATTAGGTTTAGGGATGATGTTAGAAAACTTGACTGTAGTTTCTACCTACTGATGTATCTTCAGGAAGTAATTCCTGTTGAAAATGGTTATCTTGGGAGTTACCCAGTATCACATCTGTCATCTTGCAGATGGACCCCTGGGGTTGACTTGTCTGATGTGACAAAAGACAGCTGATCTGTTTGAAGAACTGAGTGCTTATGGAGAGACCCATTTGGTCTCTAAGAGAAAATGTTCACAGCCCCTTAAATTTATGTTGTAAACAATGTAGCAGGTCTCTCATTCTCTCTCTCTCTCCTTCTGCCCATATTCAGCCAGAAATAATCCATATCAATTTAGCCTCATTGCTTTGCCAATCATAAAGCTTATACTTTGCTTTATACCCTCCTTACGTTGGCGGTTAGTTCAGTGGAACCTTTTTCAAATGGAAGCTCCTATAAAACACATACTGTGAGGTGCTGAGGGAAAGACAGCAGTAGGACCCTCAAACTCCTGCCTCTTGGTCTCCGATTTCGCAGCTCTGTCCTTGCCAGGCCCCTGGAGCTTTTTTGAGGAATCCAAGAACTCCTGGGACACAGTCTGAAAATGCTGGGTGCCATGTGATTTTGACTGGCTCATCAGTCTGAGCTGAGTTGGAAGGAAGGTTCATCTTTGTTCCTGAGTCTT